TTTTACAAGTTGAAATTCTTTTAGCAATTTTACAAGTTGAACACAGTTCAAATCTGATGAAATCTTCATGACATTGAAGTTCATGTCTTTTTAAAAGTCTTGATTTCAAGAGGAGTCCAATGAAATCCCTTGGAAATAGACCCTGGTGGGCCTCTTCTGAGTGATATAAAAATCTTCCTTCGAGGTCACCTCAGGAGTTAAGTTTCTATGCGTATGTTCAATGTCATCAGCCTTGAGGATCACCTGATTTATCCTTAGTTAATGAGTTACCTACAAAGGAGGAGGAAAACATAATTAACATTTCATAACATAGATATACACTTAAAACTAAACACATTGATAAATGAATAGGTAATTCAAACTGCTGGTATTTGCGATATCAAGTACATTGCTGAATGTTAAAGGATTACCATATTCAGGTGTTTCCAACTTATAAAAATATACCAATTCTTTTTTTTCTCATTGTCATTTCACAACATTTTTAGAGCTATTTTCACAGTTATCCAGATTGTGACCAGGATGATCTCAACTGGCAGCAATGATACCCCTCTCAGACCCGGAATGATTCTGCAATCCCTGTTCTTTGTATAGGCTTGATGGACATAACCTAAAAACCATAAACCCATCACACCAGGCCTCAGTGTAGAAAGGCCTTTGTTCACAGCAATAGAATCAGACCACATTCTCAAGAAAGCCCATGGCATTAGCTCCATAAAATTCACTCTTGAAATAGTTTAAAAAATGAGGGCTTATTTGACTCAATTATATTTCGAAAAAAATCACCTATTCATAAGGACCAAAAAATATTTGGGGAGAGAAACTATGAAGAATAGGAAAATGTTTTACCACATTTCAAAAGTACCTAAAAATTCTCATAAAATTGATTAGAGTACATTATTAATGCTATTTTAAAATTACAGAGGAAGATTCATACTGACTTTTCATACCTACTAAAGTCCAAAGAACATTTATGTACAGGAAAAAACAATAATAGTAGATAGAGTATTTGATACATACAT